TTGGGGCTAGAGAGATGACTCAGTGGTTAAGAGCACTGGCTGCTCTTGCAGAGGACCCAGGTTCGGTTTCCAGCACCCACATGGCAGCTAACAACCATCTGTAACTCTAGTTCCAGGATAATGCCATGCTTTCTTCTGACCTCTGTGGGCATTGCATGACACAGGTGCACTTATATACATGCAGGCAATGTACTCATCCACATAAAATAAAATTAATAAATAAAATAATAAGAAGCCAAATATAAAAATGATAAAATAGTTTTTTAAAAAATATTTTATTTATTATTTTTACTTTATGTGTATGTATGTATTGCCTGCATGTAGGTAAGCGCACTCGTGTCATGCAATGCCCACGGAGGACAGAAGAGGCTGTCGGATCCCCTGGAACTGGAGTTACGAACAGTTGTTGCACCCGTGTCGTGCAATGCCCGCAGAGGTCAGAAGAGGCTGTCAGATCCCCTGGGCCTGGAGTTACAGACAGTTGTTAGCTGCCATGTGAGTGCTGGGATTCGAACGCGAGTCTTCTGCAAGGACAACCAGTGTTCTTTTTTTAAAAAATATTTTATTATTTTATATGTATGAGTGTATTGCCTGCATGTATATGAGTGCACCCATGTCGTGCAATGCCATGGAGGTCAGAAGAAGGCTTCAGATTCCTCTGGATCTGGAGTTAAGGTTCGTAGCCACCATGTGGGTACTGGGAATCAAACCTGGGTCCTCTACAAGATCAGTCAGTGCTTTTAACTGCTGAGCCATCTCTCCAGCCACACAACCAGTGTTCTTAACCACTGAGCAATCTCTCCAGCCCCAATAAGATGTTTTTAAAATTTTTATTTATTATTTTTATTTTATGTGCATGAGTGTATTGCTTGCATGTAGGTAAGTGCATCCATGCTGTATAATGCCAGTGGAGGTTAGAAGAGGGCATCAGATTCCCCTAGTACTGGAGTTACAGATGGTTGTTAGCCTCATGTGGGTGTTGGAAATCAAACCAGGGTCTTCTGCAAGAGCAGCCAGTGCTCTTAAAATCACTGAGTCATTTCTCCAGCCCTATTTTTGGCTTTCTGAGACAGGATCATTATTGCCCAGATCAGCCTCAATCTAGTGACTCTCCTGCTTCAGCTGAGTGCTGGGATTTCAGCCCCATTCCTACACCTAGTCTATTGTGAACAATTCTGCTACCAATACAGGTATCCAAAAATCACTTAAAATACCTTTTGCATATATGCCCAGAAGTGGAGTTTCTGGATCATATGGTAATCCTAGCTTATATATTTTTATTGTAGGTTGGGTTTTTTGTTTGTTTGTTTTTGTTTTTTGTCTTTTTGAGACAGGGTCTCCCTGTAACCCCACCAGCTGGCCTGGAACTCACTTTACAGACCAGGTTGGCCTCAATCTCAGAGGTCCACCTACCTCTGCCTCCTGAGTACTTCGATTAAAGGTGAGCAATACCACACTCAGTCTATTGTATTTTATTTTTAAAGATTTTTTGTCCATTCTGATTATTATTATTATTATTATTATTATTATTATCATTTTGGTCTTTTTGAGACAGGGTCTCCCTGTAGCCCCAGCTGGCCTGGAACTCACTATGTAGACCAGGCTGGCCTTGAACTCACAGACATCCACCTGCCTCTGCCTCCCAAGTGCTGGGATCAAAGGTGTGCGCCACCACGCCCGGCGATTTTTTTAAATTTACGTGTTTGTGTGTGTGCCTGCTTATCTGTATGTGCACCACATGTGTGCAGGTGACCATGAAGCCAGAAGAGAGTGCCAAATCCCCTGGAGCTAGGGTTACAAGTGGCTCTGTGCCACCTGACCATGGACACTGGGAACTGAACTCTAGTCTTCCGTAAAAGCAGTAATATTCTCAACCACCAAGCCATCTCTCCTGCCCTCTAGTTTAAACATTTTGAAAAACTGCCACATTATTTCTGTAGCAGAATTAATGATTAAAAAAAAAACAGGTATGGTGGTGCACACCTTTGATCCCAGCACTTGGGAGGCAGAGGCAGGTGGATCTCTGTGAGTTCAAGGCCAGCCTGGTCTACATAGTAAGTTCCAGTTCAGCTGGGGCTACAGGGAGACCCTGTCTCAAAAAGACCGAAAAAATAAAAAAAAAAAACAAAAGTTGCCAATGTCTACTCTAAATTTGGGTTTGGGTGTTTCTGCTGAGAAACTGGGAGCCAGATGTCACTGGTCCTGTGCCTGCAGAACAGCATGGCCAGGCCCCTGCAGACCCCCAAATCTAGGCACTCCATGAAGATCCTAGGTCTTCTCTTCTGCAAGCTTTAGTTCTCATCCTTATTCATTCTTTTTTTAAAAAATTTTTTATTTATTATTTTTATTTTATGTGTATCTGTGTATTGTCTGCATGTAGGTAAGTGCACCCATGTCGTGCAATGCCCTCAGAGGTCAGAAGAGGTTGTTGGATCCCCTGGGACTGGAGTTACAGACAGTTGTTAGCTGCCATGTGGGTGCTGGGATTTGAGCCTGGGTCTTCTGCAAGAACAATAAGTGTTCTTAACCGCTGAGCCATCTCTCCAGCCCCCTTAATCATTCTTTATAGTCCCACTCTGGTCCTTAAATTAATTTTTCAGGTGAGCGTACAAAGTAATAGGTTTTTTTTTTTTCTCCTAAAAAATTAGTTTCACTCAGTAGCCATGGCAGGGTTGGAACTTTCTATGTAGCCCAGTCTGGCCTCCAACTTGATCTCTGTTGGTACATTTGATATAAAGGTCTAGAACTGGATTGGCAAGATAACTGGTGAAGATGCTGGCACCAAGTATGAAGACCTGAGTTTGATCTCCTGGTCCTACATAGTAGAGGAAGAAAACCAATTTCTAAGAGTTGTCCTCTGACCTCCACATGCATGCCATGGCAAAATAAATACTTTTTTAAAAGCCTAGAACTGAACAGACACTCTTGGGGTGGCCTGGCCAGTGCAAAGTAGGCCCTACTGTCATCTCCTTTAATCTATGCTTTGTATCTCCATTAAAGTAAATGTGCAATGGATTTTGTGTGGTGTCCTTATTGGTATTTATTAAGCTAAAAATACCAATAGCCCTCAGTCTTTTTATTTTTTAAGATGAAGTCTCATTAACTCAGACTAAGCCTTGAACACCCTGTGTAGCTAAGGCTGGCCTTAAACTTCTGATCCTCCTGCTTCTACCTCCTTAGTACTAGGATTACAGGCATCTGCCATCATGCCTTATTTATGTGGTTCTGGGGATGAATCCAGATCTTTGTGCATGTTGGGTAAACATTCAACTGAGCCACATCTTCAGCAACCCCAAGTCGTTTTCACAGGAATGTTTGCAAGGCCCTGCCCTTCATCCCCATCTGTGAAACTGAATTTTACATGAATAGTTACACATTCCTCTGTGAGCTTCTATATGGGCCATCTTTTACACTTTATGCAACTGGGTAAGTGTCCATCCCTTCTAGATATGTTCAAAGGAGCCCCTGAATGTGTTCTCATGTTCAAGAAATCTAAGAGAGGGCTGGGGATAGTTCAGGTGGTAGAGTACTAGCCTACTATACATAAGCCCCTAGTCTATTCCTGGCACCACATAAAACTGAGCATGGTAGGCCACACCTATGATTCCAGCCTTCAGGAAGTGGAGGCAGAAGGATGAAGAATTCAAGGTCAGCCTTACTACATAGTTTGAGGCCAGCAGGGGTTATATGAGACCCTGTTTATAAAATTAAAAACAAAAGTTTAAAAAAAACACGTAAAGGAATATTTGGTACTCTTTTTAGCACAGAAAAGGGAATGTTTATTTGAATTTTGAAAAAGTCCCAGGTCAGTGAAGTTGTTCTTGGGTAATGGGGCCATGGCTTTAGTCTGTCTTACCTGCAACAGGTTCCCCTGGGGACCCAGCCTCATAGCTCCCTGCCTCAGGGACTCTCTGCCTGTCCCAGGGTGACTCTGCAGAACCTGTGAGCTCATGGGCATGGCCTGAGGACACGGAGAGAGACCAGAGCCTAGGCAGATGGCAGCATCATGGCTCAGGACTCCTGCTACCTTGAGAACAATGGCATCCCAGAACCTTCTTGCTGACCTAGGTGCCCTCCCTCCCTCTCCCCTGGCAGCTGACTGTGTGCTACTCCACTGAGTGAGCACCTGCCTGCTGGTACTAATGTTCAGACCACAAGGAAGAAGAAGAGCTTTTTTATTGCTCCGGCATGGCCTGCCAGTGTCTCCCAGCATGTTGCTCAGTCTTCTAGGCTCAGGGGTATGGCAGTGGTTACAGTGGTCACTCTAGGGCCTGGTTCAGTCATTAGGCAGTAGTCTCAATCAGTCCTCCTGAACCCTGGAAGGCAAAGCCAGTAGGATGGCATGGGTTTCTGTGGGTAGCTAAATCCTGTCCCCACTGCCACCTCAGAATACTGCAAGACTGGCAGTATGTGGCACTTCCCAAAACCACCATGGGGGTCCATAACCCATGGCCACAGTGACTACTTTGTCCTATTAGTTAAACATTCAAGGAGACACACTTCTCAATACAGAGACACAACGCCCTGGCTTCACTGCTCTGAGGCACAACGCCCCTGGGTAGAAAGCTGCTGATCTAAGAGGATCTGGGTAGGGGTATGGCTCAGCAGCAGAGCAATTACTTAGCACAAGTAAGGCCTTGGGTTCCATCTCAGCTACACACACTCATTCATGCATGCACATGACATATACACACATTCATTCATGCATGTGCACACCTACACATATACACACAAATACATTCACATACATACAAAACACACATACATACACATATGCACACAAAACATATATACATATCACACACGTACTACACACATACTGTATAGACATATATACCCATACACACATCGCACACACATACCACACCACACTATACCACACACACACAGAGGATCTACTTTAGCCCAGGCCATTTCCTCCTCAGGCAAGTATAAAGTCACAAAGTACAAGCAAGAAGGAACCAGCCTGTAGGGAATACAACTCCTTGCTTTTCTTCAAGGCTCTGTGCTTAAGGCCTTCTGCATGCATCCCTCACTTTATGGGCCACCCTGTACAGGAGGAATCATTACACTGATTTCCCAATTGATAAAACTGAGGCTCAAAGAGGATAAGGGACAGGTGGAATGTGGCTTGCCTAGCATGCTACCAGTCTTGGGTTCCATTCTCAGTACAGAAAAAGAAGACTGGCCATCTAGGTCACAGAGTAGAGGCAGAACTCAAACCTAAGCCTCCTGCCTCCAGGACAGTTGTTAGATGCTATCCCTCTTTCTGAACAGAGAACCCTGACTGGGAGAGAAGATGAATGAGGGAAGCCTGGTTACCTGGCAGCCTGAACTTCTGAAGGAGGGGGATGAAGCCCTGCAGCACACTGTGGATCCGGAACACTGCTCGGAACAAGGGAAAGGCTGGTCAGGTTTGTGGCCCCTCAAGAGCCCAGGATCAGTCACACCCCCTGCTGCTCCAGGACAAAGGCCCAACCCACGCAAACAAAGGCCTAACGTGCCATTTCAGACAAACTTCAATAACAGTGCTGTGGTTATTACAACGGGAAACAAGCCATGAGCAGCAATAACAGGGACAGGAAACCTGCGACCTCTCTGCCTGGCTCCACTAGCTCATTTTCAGTATCTGACTAGCTCTAGTTTGCCACTTTAAACTGTTTTTTTGCATTTTTATGGAGCTACCCTTTTTTTCCACAAGCTTCTGCCAATGACCTCTCATTGACCTTGAACGTGATCAGGAAGAAAACACACACATAAGGAATTTTTTTTTTTAAGTTTAGATTGTGATTCTTGGCAAGTGTGATGGCCTTTCCAGCTGCCACCCTCCAGGAGCTTGTGATTCTGTGTGACTTTTTGACTGGCAGCTTACCCAGCCCAAAGTAGATACCGATGGTCTCCAGGGAGGCGAAGGTGAGCAGGCCAACCCCAAGGGACATGAACCAATCTGCCAGGGTGGCAAAGGAGAAAATGGTCAGCCTTCAGGTTGTAATACCCAGTCCTCTCATACAGACCCTTCCCTGGTCCCCAGGGAGCCTTACCTGAGGAGTAATGATAACACACCAGCAGGGATCCGATGGAAAAGCAGAGGAGGACGAAGTGGAAGAATTCATCTGCGAAGGCAAAGTGGGGAACTGGCATTCAACTCTTTCCCTCTCCTTCCCTTTTGTTTCCATTTGTAACCCAGGCTATCATGCATGCTAGGTGAATGTTCGTCACAACCCTTTAGGGTTTTTGTTTGTTTTTTATTTTTATTTTATGTGTATGAGTGTTTTGCTTGCATGGATGTAAATGCATCTATATCATATAGTGTCCATGGAGGTCAGAATGAAGGTGTCAGATCCCCTGAAACTGGAGTTACAGATGGTTGTTAGCTGCCATGTGGGTGTGGGGAATCAAACCTGGGTTCTCTGCAAGAACAGCCAGTGCTCTTAACTGCTGAGCTATCTCTCCAGCCTCATCTCATTTTTACTTAATTTAGTGTTTGCGTATATGTATCTGTGTGAGTGTATGCACACATGTGCTGATGCCCAAAGAAGACAGAAGAGATTATCTGATCTCTTGGAGCTAGACGTACAGGTATTTGTGAACAGCCCAAAATGGGTGCTGGGAACTGAATTCAGGCCTTTATAATTAAGCAGCAAGTGCTCTTAACCACTGAGCCATTTCCCCAGCTCTAACTCTTGTTATTTATTTATTTTTTATTTATTAATTTATTCATTCATTTATTTATTTATTTTGAGACAGGGTCTCACTATGCAGCTCTGGTTGGTCTAGGACTTACTGTGTAGACTAGGCTAGCCCTGAATTTACAGAGATCTGCCTGCCTCTGTTTCCTGAGTACTGGGATTAAAGGCGTGTGCCACCATGCCCAGACTTTATTTTAGGCTAGCTCTGGCTAGCCTAAAACTAGTTATGTAGACCAGGGTGAACTTGAACTCACAGAAATTCACCTGCCCCTGCCTCCTGAGTGCTGGGATTAAAGGCGGGCACCACCATGCCTGGGTATTTATAATTTATTTGTGTGGGGGGGGCAGTGCCCAGGGAGGCCAGAAGGGGGTTTCAGACTCCTTTGAGCCAGAGTTATAGGCAGTTGTGAACTGCCCAATGTGGGAAGTCCTCTGATGGAACAGAGGCACACTTAACCACTGAGTCATCTCTCCAGCCTCTTCTCATTTTAAATGATGGTATTCCTGCTCCTGACCAGCCAATAATATAAAATCATGCCCCAGCAGCCCCTACTTTCCAGCCCTCATCTTCCTTCATTATTTTTGGAACAAGTACGGTCATGCAGCCTGGGTTTTATTTCTGTGTTTATTGATTTCCTTCCTTCCCACTGGCTATATGTCTGTGGAGGGCAGGATGTCAGTCTGCCTCCAGATGAAAACAGCAGTCAGAGCAGCACCACACAGAGGTGCTCAGTATCTCATTTGTTGAATGAACATTTAAAATAATTATGAAAAATGCAAAGTATAAGTTATAAGATGTGGAGGGCCTGGAACTTGGAGTGGTGACTAAGTGGCCCTTGCACTTTTCCAGGCACTGTGTGGCATGACCGGGAAGGTAATACAATCTCCCTGCTTTCTCCAACAAAGAGGATTCAAAAAAGAATTTAAGAGAAGTCAAGGGGTGATGGTACACACCTGCAATCCCAGCATTCAGGGACTGAGGCAGAAGGATCACAAGTCTGAGGCAAGCCTAACTACACAGGAAGATCATTAAATAAAACAAACAAAAAGACCAACTAAACAAAACAAAAATCAGTCTAAGACAAAGCAAGCAAGCCCGGCGGCCTGGTGAAGGCTCTGTCTGAAGGGTAATGTACAAGGTCAGGACTAAATCAAAGGAACAGGACTTGCAAACAGAGACAGAGGGGAAAATCCACTTCTCCCGTAGGGTATAACATGTTCCACATGTCCCAAAGCTACTTGGACACAGTCTTCACTTTGGGACTCTGGGTTTCAGTCCAATGAACCTTTTCATAACTGTAGAGAGACCAACAGCATGATCTAGTTCATCAGTTGAACAAAAACAAAGAGAGGGCTCGGGCCCAGGTCTCTCACTCCCTGAATAGGAGTTGGGGGCAGGGGCCTTTCAAAGTAATTCAAGATGTTTCTAGAACAACTGTCATTTGTTTAATCAAAAATATGGCCAGGCAGAGCTGGAGGATAGCTCAGTGGTTAAGAGCACTTGCTGCTCTTGCAGAGGACCTGAGTTCAGTTCCCACACCACAAGGAAGCTCACAATCACTTGTAACTCTAGTTCCAGAGGATCTGATATCCTCTGATGGTCTCTGAGGGCACCAGACATGCACATGGTGCACATGCATACAGGCAGGCAAAACACCCATATACATAAAATAAATAGGGTTGGGGATTTAGCTCAGTGCTCGGCAAGCCCTGGGTTCTGTCCTCAGCTCAGAAGGAAAAAACAACAAATAAAATAAATAAATAACTACATAATGAGTTCCAGGCCAGCTGGGGCTACTGGGAGACCCTGTCTCAAAACAACAAATAAAATAAATAAATAAATAAATAAATATTGAAAAAAAAAGGGACATTGTCAAGGGATGGGAGAGATGGCTTAGTGGTTAAGAGCGTGTACTGCTCTTGCAGAGGACCTGAGTTTAACTCCCAGCACCCACATCAGGCAGCACACAATTTTTACACTGTAACGCTAGCTCAAGAGATCTGACACCCTCTTCTGGCCCCCATGGGCACCTACACTCATATACACATACCTACATACAAACATGCATGCATATACATAATTTTTAAAAAAATTTAAATCTTTAAAAAACAAAACCAAAATACCATGGTCTCCTCTCCCTTATGGTCTTCCAGGAAATCTCATGGGTTCCAGGTTTGGAGCAGAGGCGGCCCTGTGGCTCTTATCTGCTAATGAAACCTCACGAGTTCCCACAGCCTGGACACATCTGGCCACAGGGCATGAGAGGCATCTATCACTCTGTGATTTCATGCACTAAAGAAGGAGCACAGGACTGGGCATCAAGCTCAGGACATGTCCTTTGATAGCTGTAAGACTACCCTCCCACTGGGCGTGGTGGTGCACACCTTTAATCCCAGCACTTGGGAGGCAGAGGCAGGCAGATCTCTTTGAGTTGAAGGCCAGTCTGGTATACATAGTGAGTTCCAGGCCAGTTGGGGTTACAGGGAGACCCTGTCTCAAATAACCACTGAGTCATCTCTCCAGCCTCTTCTCATTTTAAATGATGGTATTCCTGCTCCTGACCAGCCAATAATATAAAATCATGCCCCAGCAGCCCCTACTTTCCAGCCCTCATCTTCCTTCATTATTTTTGGAACAAGTACGGTCATGCAGCCTGGGTTTTATTTCTGTGTTTATTGATTTCCTTCCTTCCCACTGGCTATATGTCTGTGGAGGGCAGGATGTCAGTCTGCCTCCAGATGAAAACAGCAGTCAGAGCAGCACCACACAGAGGTGCTCAGTATCTCATTTGTTGAATGAACATTTAAAATAATTATGAAAAATGCAAAGTATAAGTTATAAGATGTGGAGGGCCTGGAACTTGGAGTGGTGACTAAGTGGCCCTTGCACTTTTCCAGGCACTGTGTGGCATGACCGGGAAGGTAATACAATCTCCCTGCTTTCTCCAACAAAGAGGATTCAAAAAAGAATTTAAGAGAAGTCAAGGGGTGATGGTACACACCTGCAATCCCAGCATTCAGGGACTGAGGCAGAAGGATCACAAGTCTGAGGCAAGCCTAACTACACAGGAAGATCATTAAATAAAACAAACAAAAAGACCAACTAAACAAAACAAAAATCAGTCTAAGACAAAGCAAGCAAGCCCGGCGGCCTGGTGAAGGCTCTGTCTGAAGGGTAATGTACAAGGTCAGGACTAAATCAAAGGAACAGGACTTGCAAACAGAGACAGAGGGGAAAATCCACTTCTCCCGTAGGGTATAACATGTTCCACATGTCCCAAAGCTACTTGGACACAGTCTTCACTTTGGGACTCTGGGTTTCAGTCCAATGAACCTTTTCATAACTGTAGAGAGACCAACAGCATGATCTAGTTCATCAGTTGAACAAAAACAAAGAGAGGGCTCGGGCCCAGGTCTCTCACTCCCTGAATAGGAGTTGGGGGCAGGGGCCTTTCAAAGTAATTCAAGATGTTTCTAGAACAACTGTCATTTGTTTAATCAAAAATATGGCCAGGCAGAGCTGGAGGATAGCTCAGTGGTTAAGAGCACTTGCTGCTCTTGCAGAGGACCTGAGTTCAGTTCCCACACCACAAGGAAGCTCACAATCACTTGTAACTCTAGTTCCAGAGGATCTGATATCCTCTGATGGTCTCTGAGGGCACCAGACATGCACATGGTGCACATGCATACAGGCAGGCAAAACACCCATATACATAAAATAAATAGGGTTGGGGATTTAGCTCAGTGCTCGGCAAGCCCTGGGTTCTGTCCTCAGCTCAGAAGGAAAAAACAACAAATAAAATAAATAAATA